GTTTGTTGTGTTTAAAATGAAATATATTCTGAGTAATAGCCACACATGCATGATCATTGTCTTAGAATATTGAACGACCATTTTTATAAATACAGTTTACAATCTGTGGATTTTGTAAGTGCTGCTAATAAGTGCTTATTAACTTAAACAACAGGATTTTATAGGTTTAAGTAAATTTATTTCTATGAATAATTATAGCCGATGATTGAATTATATACAAATGAAATAGGTTATATTTTTTTGATACAAGTGATATACAACAAACCATTTAAAGTATAAGTAACTAAGCAAATTATTCTGTTGTTTTCCCTCATTTAACTATAAAAATAAAATCAAATTTAATATATATTGCATTTTAAATATAATCATGCTTTTTTATTTAATAATTAAATGTAAATATAAAAATGGTTTAATTGTAGTTATATATATATAAGAATTTACATTGATTATGAAATCTTAAGCTTATTTAATTATTTTTAGTATTGGAAAAGAAGTTAACAGCGTTGATGTTAAAAATGTGAAGGCAAAAAAAGAAACAGAAGAGGATACTAAAGTATGAAATTGAATAATGATTTTTAAAATTATTATAATTTTACTTATGTAAATTATAATCAATTTTTTTTTTTAAGAATCCAACTGAAGAATGTTATGACATTGAAGAAGTTTCAACTTACACTGATTCCAGCACTTTCTTGAAGGCAACATTTTACAGATTTAAAATTAGATAAATTATTAGTTCAATAAATTATAAAACAAATTTAAATTTTCTGCAGGGTACTCAAAGTGCTAACCCTCATAATGATTATTGTCAACATTTTGTTGATACTGGTCAAAGACCTCAAAATTTCATCAGAGATGTTGGTAAGTTAATGTAACAGCAAACATGAATAGATTTTATATTATTATAAATATTATCAGAGTTCTAATTAATGAAAAAAAATATTGTTTTAGGTCTTGCAGACAGATTTGAAGAATATCCAAAATTAAAAGAACTTATTCGTCTGAAAGATGAACTAATTGCAAAAACAGCAACACCACCTATGTAAATTACTATTAAATTTATATTTCTTTTAAGTATTTTATGCTGAAACTAATTTCACTTTTGATGCCAAATGTCATATTTTTGGTTCTAGGTTTATTTGATTCTTCATATACAAATACAGAGGAATCTTTCAAAAAGAATGCTAGCATTTTAAATTATTGTAATTATGTTAATTATCTGAGAAGTATCCAATGTACACCAATCAATAGATTAACTGTTAGAATTTCTTCTCCCATCTGCATTAAAACATCTTGTAGTCTACTACCTCTAGGAAATGCCATAAATGAAAATGGTGACTCCACAATAGAGAAAGCATTTTATGTTTTTCTGTTCACAAAGTTAGAATCACTCATCATTGTGCAACATGAGTAATCTGCAGGAGCTGTAGAATTGTGACTGCTGTGGTAGAAATGACAACAGGTATGTTGTAGCAAGTTAGGAAGAATTTGAGTATCAGCTGGATGTGTGTCATGTTGCATGAGATGCAGTATGTTGAGAAATGGTAATGGGCAAACATATAACTCGGACAGTTTTTCGATGTTTTAATATACATTACATTCTCAGATAATAATTGACATATTAAAATAATTTAAAATGGTAGCATTCTTTTTAGAAGACCTTATATTTGTATTGCAATAAAATATTTGTCAACAAATAACAAAATAATAATCTAAACATATTGTTCTATTTATTATTATATCATTTGAATTAAATTAAAAGAGTTTTATTAAAACAAAGAAATAAAATCAAAACATTTTTATTGTATTGAAATTGAACCATCAAATAAATGACATATACTGTATATATTTTTGAAATATGTTCATATGAAATAATTTAAATACAGTAGAACCTTGAAAACTCGGCTCTCGATAACCCGGCACTCCGGATAACTCGGCCACACCCTGGCAGGGCAAAAAAATCCTTAGTTAATTAATTTTCATTATAGACAGCTTTATAAAAGTATAAAAGCTCTCATAAAGTATTTTTCTGAGGTCTGTCTTATCAGGTAAATTACTGTACACAGTGTATTCATTAATTTTCATTTTCATGTAGTAAAGGCTCTATGCCTTCATAAAGGACGTACTTTTCCTTTGTTTAAGGGTATTTGGGCAGTTTATTCTCTGTTATATTCTCAAGTAAACAATACATACAAGTACAGTACAGTATTTTCTGAGGAAACACTCGTACTTATTTTTTTTAACCCCATTCCCGATAACCCGGCATTTTCACAAACTCGGCCACCCTTCGGTCCACATTAGGCCGAGTTTTCGAGGTTCTACTGTATTATGACAAAAGTATGACAATTAATTTTTGATCATAACTGAATGTGTCAAAAAAATAAGTCATTCACTTAAATAATAATACAGTGTGTGATCAGTTAACAAACATAATTCATTCCAAGACTTTGTTTGTTAACCGATTATTGATTTACCATAGGTTTTTATGGGAATTTGATTAATTTGTTCCAGAGACTCCAAAAAATAAAAAATATATACATTTTTTACTACATTTATTTATATATAATAGTAAAAATACATATATATGAAGTCTTGCATTTTTATTAGTCATGTTTTTTCCATTTGTGGGGGTTAAAGAATCTGTCCAATATCAATTGCTTTTCTCATTTCTTCAGGATTTTTCGGAAGTAATTAATAGTATTGTAATTGTAGAGATCCTCAACCCCATTAACCTTATTCTGGTTTGGATGTCCCTTGGATGATTGTTGTTCTGACATCCTCCCACTTCAAAAGATCTTTAGTAGCAGATGTTGACATTGGTGCTCTTTCGTCTTCCTCTTTTTCAAAAGAAAACACATCTTGCTGAGTTTCTTGGTATTCTTCATTCAAGAGTTCTTGGAGTTCTTCTGTCATCAGATCAGTTTCAGGTTCCATTATGAACTCCAAACTGCTCTTTATTTCTCAGATGTGATTTTCATTACTCCTTCAGCAGCTTGAGACTTCTTGATATATCTTTCATAGCTAAGATTGTGCCTACTGTAGACCTGTTCGAGCAATACTGTCTAGCAACATCAGACATCTTGTGCCCATTTTCTTCCTTGGCCATTATCTCTTACTTGATTTCTACATCATTTTAAATTATTTTAATATGTCAAACTATTTTAATATGACACTCCTTTTTTTAGGCTCATAATATTATCAGTGTCTTTTTTAAATAAAAAGTTCAGAAAAGCACTTACAAAAATTCAGAGAACAGAAATCAACTAGCCCACAAAAAATTATTTAAATGCAAGGCCCAGATGAAATTCGAAATTTGATATTAATACATTAACGAATAATTTGATGGGACAGTTAAACTTTCACCTTTTGTAAATAAACCCTGAGGCAAAACTTAACAATTGCCCGTCCGACAGTCTTGCAAATACTATAAAATATTATTTGTCAGAAAGGTAAACAAAAAGCTGGAATTACAAGAGAGAGTTTCAAAATTCAGAGGAATATTATACTATCCGATCAGTATCTGGTTGAGCATCGATGTTGATGTCTCTCATGCTTTGAAAGGTTTCAAATTGTTACCTGAAGACGAGAAAATCAACTGGTATTCGTTATTTTCCGTTGCTTCTTTTTATGTTTGTTCAGTAAAGTGTTCGTTGTCCGATCATAAAAATCTTTTGCGAAAGTGTTCGTTATCTGATTTGTTCACTATCTGAACTGTTCATTAACCAATCACTCACTGTAAAAGTATAAATTAGGAACTTATGCTATTTTTGGATATGTTACAGCATATGACATTTGAGCATTAAAAAAATCTAAATCAATATGTACATAAATGTACAGAATGCATAAAAATAATGCAAATTTAATAATTCAAACATTTTTTATTACCTTTCAGGTATTTGAAGTGTGATTTAGAAACTTTTGATATGAGAGAATTAAATAGCAAATTTGATGTCATATTAGTAGAGCCTCCACTTGAAGAATATCAACGTACTTATGGTGTGACAAATATGAAATTTTGGACTTGGGATGAGGTATTGAATGAATTCATTAATAAATTCAATTTAGTTGCCATGTTCTGATTAGAGAATATTTATAAAATAGAAATTACCATAACAGTAAATGAAAAGAATAAATTTTTAGAATACTAAAGGCTATTCCCAATTGCTTTTGATGATCAACCTTGGCATTACATAATGCTTTCCATTTATTTTTGTAATTTATAATGATTTATTGTAAACAATATTAGCCTTATATATTTAAAAAAAATCTGCACACTATTGTATATTTTAACAATGGGTTTGGTTGTCCAAAGTTCTATATATGCAAAAATTAATATTCAGTGATACGAGTTCCAATAAAGCAGATTTTTTTTATTTTAAGAAATGAAGTTGTTTTTAATGCTTTATGTATTATTTGAAGTTATTTAATTTATATGCCAAAAAATTTAAATAAGAAAATTGCAAGTAAATAATACAAGTAAATCAGTAATTAACTTATGTGCTTTTTAAAACTGGACAGTTAACATTTAAAATGTTTCGTTCTGTAAGCATTAACAATAAACTTTGATGTCTTGTAGAACAATTGTAGTAATTGAGTTTATGCTTATGAATATTTAGTATTAGATAGAATATTGTTTCAGTGTGTTCAAACAATTAATATTAACAACAAGCAATTATTTATTGTGATATCATCACAATGCCAAGCTGCAATTTTTAATTATATTTTAAATTTATTTAATTTAAAATATAATTAAAACATTGATATTGCTGAGTGCCATTTTCTTCACAAAGTAAACTAACTCTCTCCTTCATGAATTTTATTAGAGTTTCATTTGAAATGTCACCAACATTGAACATGCATACTGAGTAAAATTTGTACTTTATGACTGACTCGTTCATAAAGTTGAACAAGTTAAACACATTACTAACATACTCTATATGTTCAAGCCTACTAGTGGCCAAGTGGTCTTCGTATCCTGAACACGGATGCATGACTGAACCGGGAGTTCGGTCATGCATTTGCTCTTCATTCGGACAGGCTGGTCAAGTGAATTTTTTCGATTTTTTTCTATGTCTGTAATGCCTAAATAGGGGCCAGTGTTCCTTAAAAAGACCTCCTGGAAGGCATCTCCCTAGGCAGATCACCTGAGTGTTGCATTGCCATAAACAAGCAAACAAACAACAACTCTATATGCTCTCCATCTCAAATTAGTAGTGTCTTGCCCCTGTACATCATACTTTTCCTATTAGCAATAGTCATTCCAGTAATCTATCTAATTCTTTTCAGGGAAAATTTTTTGAATTGAAATAACATGACTTCCAATTTGCACTGGAAGTTCATATATAGTTAATTGGGACCTCCTGCCCCTAATCCTTCCATATCTGGTCTCGGCTTTCATCTATCTAACTTTGTTCTCATGATTAGGAAGGACAGACAACAGTGGGAATTTATATGGCTACAAATTTTTCATATCACAGCTCAATGAATTTTGATTGGTGAAAAAATAACTTTGGATTGAATTTTGTGCTATTGAATTCTGAATTTTTTATATACATATATATATAACAGAAAAAGGGTGATGATTATGAAAAGTATTATGTATTTAAGGAAAATACTCATAGATTGACACATATGATTTTCAGTAATTGTCAGTAAAATATAAAAAGCTTTTTCTTGCATTACAAAAACACAGGATGCTATTATTGCTGCAATTAGAACTTTAGAATGAAGTTTTTCCTAACCAATAGATGAGGTGAGATGGACCAGTTCGGTTTCCACCCTGCTCCCCCAACATAATCCTTTTGAACTTTTTCTCATGGGGTTATGTAAAGGACCTAGTTTATCAAACACCTATTACAGATATTGAAACATTAAAAGGTTCATAATAAATGCAGTTGGGACTGTCATTCCAAGACTGTTATGTAATACCTGGAAAAAGAGTGACTATCAACATGATATCATGAGAATAAAGCATGATGCATATATTGAGATTTCTTAAAGATGAAAAAACTTTTTGAATTTACTCTAATTAGTGCAAACCATTTGGCTGTATTTATTTTCCCCAAATAAATATAGATTTCTGTAATCTGTCAGTTCTTTTTCAAACATCCTGTCTGTATATCATGATAATAACATATTTTAGAATGTTACAACGTTAAACAAACATCGCTAAACTCGATATATAACATAACTACACACCAACGATATGCCGAAAATCTATCGGGCTAGTATTAGGCTAATTACTAAATGAATTATGTAATCAATTTGGCACTAGAGGTAGGCGTTAGGCGCCATCTCTTATTAATATTTATAAATAAATTAATTAATTTTAAATAATTTAGAACCACTGGGAGAAAAAATCGGCCCGGAGCGGGACTCGAACCCACAACTCCTGCTTACCGTGCAGATGCGTTGCCAGTTACGCTATCCGGACCTCCAGTCCGATCTCCTCTTCCAGCGTATATAAGCTAACTATATAACCATCGACGGTTATTGTGATGGCCGGTTGAGTGCCTTGGTGGACGTGGGCACTGAATGTGTCCCCAGCCGGCATTGTAATAACCGTCGATGGTTATATAGTTAGCTTATATACGCTGGAAGAGGAGATCGGACTGGAGGTCCGGATTGCGTAACTGGCAACGCATCTGCACGGTAAGCAGGAGTTGTGGGTTCGAGTCCCGCTCCGGGCCGATTTTTTCTCCCAGCGGTTCTAAATTATTTAAAATTAATTAATTTATTTATAAATATTAATAAGAGATGGCGCCTAACGCCTACCTCTAGTGCCAAATTGATTACGTAATTCATTTAGTAATTAGCCTAATACTAGCCCGATAGATTTTCGGCATATCGTTGGTGTTTAGTTATGTTATATATCGGGTTTAGCGATGTTTGTAATAAGAGAAAGGAATTAAAAATGTAATAAAAAGCAGATGCAAAAGATTTTGTTTTCAAGGTACAAGGTTGCTAGCATGAATGTGTGCAATTTTTCAAATTCTTTTTATGCTAGTGGCAACAACACTGCTGCAGCAGTAACAAGTGATCGTTGTAAATGATCATCTGAAACATTATTATTGACTTGTAAGCACTTTGGCTCAATTCTTAATTTGTATTCAGACAAAAAAATGACTTCTGCCTAGTTTAGAAACTAATTCATTCTGGAAAGGGAAGGAGTCAGTCACTGTTAACCCATTCATCAAAGGGTTAATTATTAAGTGCCTTTGTCATTCTTTAACATTCACATCCATGTAATTTCTTTCTTTCTTGAATGTGTCAGATATTATCAGGGCTGTGGAGTCGTGTAAAAATCTACCGACTCCAACTCTGACCAGGAGCGGACTTGTTACTGAAAGAGACCCGGAAATTCTGATGTCATCATGTGCCCTCAGAATAAAAGATTCAATAAATAGAGTTCTAATAAAGATAGAACGTAGAAACTTTTTATTCCAAAGTTATAAGACTCCTCTAAGTAATATGTGACCGTAGGGTCGGTGTCTCTGACACCCCGTCAGGATGTGACACCACCAAGTCTCGCAGGACTCGAAAATCGCAACTTTACGCCACGCAAGCGGTAGCGGGTGAAGGGTTGAATTCGGAGTAGAGGTGAGGACCCGGAATGGAGTGAACGGAGAAAAGAATGGAAGAAACTGCACTCAAAATTATTTTAAACATAAATAACCGTTTATTTATATGAAAGTGAAGTTAATTATATATCCAAGTTTAAGGTTACAAGTTAATATTGGCTAAATATAAGTTACATGAATTGCTAGTTACAATCATGTTCTAAATTAGTTTACGTGGAGAGAGAGAGCGTACAATAGTGCGTGGGCAGGATAAATACCTTATATTACTGTTGATCCATTAACAGCAAATAAAGTCCCACAGTTCGGAGTTAAATAGGTAAATTGATATTGTCCAGTTCAGTCGTTGAGGAGGAGGTGATGGGTTTCGACAGGAACAGTCTCTCAAAGACGAACTCGGCGTGGCACACACACACAATCAAATAATAACTTCCACGACCTTACTCATCGTGCCTGTCCCTTTTATACGAAGTCCTCTGTTCGAGCCTTTCCCTGATTTCGTCAGGGATGACGATCTCGTTGGACCAATAAGGTGATGGGTGACACAATCGTGACACAGAGATGAACTCATCTCAACAAGGAACCTAACTCATGGGAATCGAGGTTTAATCAGATTTTATGTTTCCCTTATCTCTTTTAATTTTCGTTAAAACTCATTCCGTCTTCATAGAGTTGCATCCCAAGTTTGATTAAAATTTTATTAAAAAAATTTAAAGTTTCTAACTCTAAATTTTTGACCCTCACAAATATATAAATATGTATTTGATAATTTTTACTTCTCCAGCTATTATATATAATAGAGGGAAAGTGTAGTGCTCGGTCAAAAAATGACCCCTC